TTGAGCAATTTTACTGTCTTTGGGCTATGTGAATATAGCAATGACAGTGACGATGGAGTTGGAATGAATAGAAACAAATGCAAAGGTGAAATGTTGAAATCTTCACGTAAACAGTGACATATTTACCTCGTACTTTTAAGTCCAAAATCTACAAAATTCGATCTTCGTCGATATTTACAAAGTTCGACAAGATCATCATCAATATTTGCGGCTTCGTTGAATTAGAAATTTGTCGTTAGTTGTCAGGATAAGTACATCCGTTCCTCCATTTATGTGACACAATTTTTTACCAAAAAATATATTTTCTTACAATTTTTAAAAAAATAACAGTAACAGTAACTACAAACCAGTTATGATTATTCAGCGTCGAGTTTCTGAAAACTTGGCAAAAAACAAGTGTGAAACGATCCGTAAAAATTAGCATTAACGATGAAAATGAAGTCGAACTTGCAAATATTCCAAGCGTCGAGGATAATAAGTTTGTGCCAATTGAGAAGAAAAGGTGGATCGTTTTCAGTCACAGTAGCGATAGTGACATTAAATAAAATTTAGTTTTGTTTTCTGAAATGCTATTGTTATTTTGTTAATCTACGTGATATAAATATGTATTTCTACAACTCGTGCCAGCTTCTCTTCCCAATAATTTTGTCGTCTTTTGACAAACTCTATTTGCACAATTTTTATTCGCAATTTTCATCCACGTGGACACTTTGCGTGAATGGAGAAGCCATAAAATAAGGTGTACTACATATTTACACCGATTTCAGTAAGGTCTTTGAATTCTCCGACATCCAGACGAGCTAAACGTACTTTAACCTGTTGCGCTAGTAACTGGTTCACGGACCATAACGAGTGACCAAACCGTATACAATAATTCGTCTTCTTTTCGAATTCATCGGTATATATCACTGGATAGATATTACCAAGAAGTAATAATTTATTATTATTTAATAGATATAATATAATAATATAATAAATATATATAATATATATAATATAATATAATATAATTTATTATTATTTATTATTAAAAATTTATTATTAGTTATTACTAAATTTATTATTACTTAATATATATAATATAATACAATGTAATTTATTATTTGTTTTGCCTGGGTTATATTTCAATATACTTGAAACTGAGAAAATGTTGCAATTTTGGGCCAAATATTCCACGACGTGCGTGGCAGCGCAAGAGGTTAAACGTGGTCACGTAACCGGTAGGAAACGTCAACCGGAGGGACAGTAATTTCACGACACGGTGTATCGGACGCAGAAGCCGGAGGCAAGAAGTTCTCGATCGACGACGACGACGACAAGGAGAGGACGCGGTGGATTTCCAAGCGGCGGCGGTAGCGGCGGCCCAGCTGGAATCTGGTATCTATAGCCAGCCGACGAATACCTGAAGAAAGATCATTAAAATCCCTCGGCGTATCCGCCTCGCGCTCGCACTCGCGCGGTTTGTATCCTGTCGCGTATCCATTACGCCTTAATTTCGCCAAGGCCTTTCGGGGTAAACCGACCCCGGTCGGATAATACGCGCCGGGAATAATCGAAATGGAAATGAGCAGGAAACGTGCGTTGACGAACAGAGGCTTGGCGAAAGTGAAGAGGGTCCGATGAAGGAAAACTGCGGGTCGTAAAAGTTCAAAAACCCATGAGCGAGGAAACGAAGGTTTGATTTCACGGGTGTGCGCCTCGGGTGGACGAATTCGGAACGATCTCGAGGAGAAGAGACAATGAAGACAAGGCGGATGAGCACGGCAGCAACCGGGCAAGATATCACAGGCAAGCACAGGTGGAATCTGGTATCTGACGAAAAGGCAGGCCTGGGACAGTCCGGTGGAGAACGAAAAAGGGGGAAAAGGACGAGAACGAGGGAGGAAGAAGAGTGAGAGAGAGAGAGAGAGGGAGAGAGCGAGCAGTAGTGGTGGCTGCACCTAAACACCCTTGCGTGTACCGCTCACGCGTTTTCTCCGTGCAGTCAGAAGCGCGTGTGCGTTTTCAGCCTCCCCAACCAATGTAACCCCCTCGAAAACCGCCGTGCTCTCACTCTCTCTCTCTCTCTCTCTCTCTCTCTCTCTCTCTCTCTTTGCCTCCGTTGCGTCTGTAATAATGTGCTCACATATTGGAGTACCTGAGAGAAGAGTCGAGAGAAGAGAAGAGAAGGAAAGAGGGGGCAAACAGCAAAGAAACAGCGGGATGAAGAAGAAGAAGAAGAAGAAGAAGAAGAGGGATCGGAGGGAAGACTGACGGGCCCCGAGCCCTGGACCAACGCGCACGTATACCGCGCTCGCGTGTGTTACCAATGACTCTGCGAGAGGGAAGGTGTATGAGTGCGTAAAGCGTGGCCACATGCCCACCAGCGATAATAAGAGAAAATAAGTAAAACCCTAAGGTACGAACCGGAGGGGGCATAGGGCGGCCGAAGGTAAGGGGGGGGGGGGCGAAAGGGAGAACCATGCCACCAAGAGAAGAAGGAACGATAGGGGAAGCAAAGAGGGAGCACAGCCGCGGCACGAGAGAAAGAAGGAGGAGGAGGAAGAGTTGAACCTGTTCCCGAGGGAGTTCCTTGACCCTCGGGGGGGCACACTGTGTGTGTGTATGTGTGTATGTGTGCGTGTGTGTGTGTTGCAAGCGCTTCGAGAAACGCGAGAGAAGCCAGCGGTGTAGCCACCATGATGCCCTCCGGCTAACTTCTCTCCGAGGGGCCCACGAAGAAGCGAAGCCAGTCGAAGACGAGGAGCGAGGATGCCGAAGCAGGATGCAGATACTCTCCCTTTCTCTCTCTCTTGCTCTGTGTGGCTGCGGTAGGCGGAAAGAGACGCGAACAAGCGTGCATGCGAGAAGATCAGGGGTATCTTGCGCGAGAGAAAGGAGGATGGAAGAAAGTCGGCGAGACGCGGACCAGGCAGCACCATCAGCGCAGCAGTGTTCCACTACTACTGGCTGTCGGTCCGTCCATCCGTCCGTTCCTACGTTCGTTGGTGGACCACGATGCACCATACTGGCACGCTACCATCCGAACGTCGTAGCTCGACTCGGTCGGGTCTCGCGGAGCTGGGGGCTTCACGAGCCAGACGAAGATGGAAGCCAGAGTCGAATCTCTCCGCGTCGTCTCTCTCTCTCGGCTGTACAGGTTCTTTCAAGCCGGAGCTGACCTCGCCGGTGTAACGAGTGGAAGAGATCAGGGCTGCCGGGAGGATCGCGAAAATTTAATTTCGATCGCCGCGGGGATCGTTAAATGAACGCTCGTTTTTCTTCCGCGAACACGAGCAGAGATAAGAGAGATGGGGTGGAAATGGACATTGCGGCGGTTGCGAGAAAACGGCTGATCGCAATTAGGCTAACGCGTTCGAACGTTCCTCCATCAGGGGAAATTAATTTTATCATTCGTATTAGTCGTTGGTAATCGAGCGATACGTTACGGTCTTCGTCTTACGGAAATCGATCGACGATCGACCACGCGTGACCCGGCGTTCTTTGCGGCGTTTCGTTTCACAAATATAGCGCGAGACAGCCGTTGGCGCTACGAGACGCGACTAGAAAAAAGAAGCCCGATCACCTGGGTAATAATAATTTATCGTCGTTTAACCGGGAATTGCGCGGAACGTGATGCACGGGGGCACAAAATTCAACGACGATCCGAGGCAAGATGGCATTTCTCGCTGAGAAACCACGATCCGCGATATAATGACGATGGACACGCGACAGCCACTTATCCATTATTGATCGTCCAAAATCACTCTTCCGGAATTTCTTCTTTCAATCCCCACCCCACTTGCCCCTCTGGTATCGTTATGCCGCTCGTGTAACAGCGTTCGTTCGACAGCGTTAAACATCCTCGAGGGCAGAGAGCCGCAGAAAATTGGACGAATCCCCTTAACGAACGATCCCTCGATCGAGAGACAGACTTCCGTGCCTTAAATTCTCCTCCTGTGCCTGAGAACTCGTTTCCACGTCGTTGAATTCGATCGATCGAGAGAGAGAGAGAGAGAGAGAGAGAGAGACAGAGAGAGAGAAAGAGAAAGAGAGTGAATGAGAGAGAGAAAGAGGAAAGTAAACGTTTCTCAGCGTTGTCGTTGTCGTTGTCGTCCGCAACATGCGGAGAACTCGATCTCCTCTCGCGTTCAACGAGGTGAGAATACACAAACGGCGTTTACGAACGGTTCGCGGATGAAACCGATCGTAAGATATACGCGAGCGAGTGGCCCGTCGCGGATATCCAGCGTGTGCAGCCACGGGGACCAGCATCCACCCGGGGCAGCAAGTGTACGATCGTGTAATGCCTTCTAGAAAGGCATCGCCAGCCAAGAGATCGCGCGCTCTTTAACCTGACGGAGATAGAAACCCCAAGTCTCTCCCCGTGTACAGACACGCGAGTCCTCGGCCAATTCCACTCGCGCACACAGAGTCGTCGTGCCTGCGAACGTGTTGCAAGCCAAGACAGCCACACACTGGGGGGAGGGGAGAGAGAGAGAGAGAGAGAGAGAGACTAGATCGGAGTACGTGCGTGCACCGCGAGCGTGCATCCACGTACGATGGTGTACGTAGTTACGTGGAACGCGCGGGACGAGCTCGCGGCCCGAACGTGTGCACGAGGAGAGGCAACGACGCGAGCCAGAGGAGAGAAAGAGAAGAGACCCGTGGGGTCTGTCGGAGAGATCGAAAGGGTCGGGGGCGAAGAGCGGCCCCTCTTCGGTGGTGGCGATGGTGGCAATGGTGGGAGTCGTCGATGCTCCCGACGGTGGCGGCGGAGAAAGAAGAAGGCGGCAGGAAGGGAAGGCCTCACGGGGATAGGGGATTCACTCTTCCTCTCTCTCACTCTCTCTCACTCTCTCGTTAGACAGAGAGAAAGAGACAGGTGACTCGAGTGCAACGAGGAAGGAGAGAAGGGTAGGGAGAGAGAGAGAGAGAGCGTGAGAGTGGAACCGCTGGCGACCGAGGGGGAGGGGGAGGCCCGCAGGCCGGCCTGCGGCTCCGACTCAGTATCCCCGGAGCGACCGTCTCGTGTACCCCGCGGAGGTGCTGCGTTTCCGTGCTCCAACGTGCACGACACAGCCGTAACACGCATACAGCCACACGTACATGCGACTCCAGCCTCACACACATACCCGTTCTACGCCGATACGTTTTTACGTGGCCGTGCACGCACGCCTGGCCCACCCACACAATCGCAGAATCGTGGATAGGCGCGCGTGTGTACCGTCCACCTTCACGCACACACACACACACCTGTTCCATCGGTCGCGAGGAACACGCCGATATCTCGCGACAATCCGCGACAGTTCGACGACGCGCGTGTTTATCAAGACCATCTGGAACTGGTGCTTAATATCGTCGAAGCCAACGCGGGGCTCGAATCATCCCCCGCGGTGGAGGTGCAGGAGGAGGAACCAACTCTCTGCAGCGTGGATGCTGCCGACGTTGCAAGCCTCCATGCCTGGATCGCGTGTTTTCGGTGAATTCGATGGAAATTTCGTCGATGGAGCACGTGGATGGAAGGATCGCGCGGATCGCAGCCAGATCCGCAATGTATCAAAGTGTCTTCACCTTCGTACGATTCGGGATTCACTGAACGACTGATCGTTCGATTCAAATGTGTCCGGCTGGCAGAAATTCTTCCGTATATTTCGACATCTCGTGAATGAAACAGCGTTCGAACTGTTCGAGCTGCGAAAGTGGATATCAAGTGGAACTGCCAGGTGAATATACACCGAAATTGGGACAACGTCCGTCGGCGATTCGCGTGAATTTCTCCCGGTAATCGGCGAGGCACGTGCCCCGTAATGCGAACGGTGCATTAGACGAACAGGTGGGAACGGAGTGCGAGCGCATCACGTGCCGTTCACGCGCGCGTTCTTTTGCAAACAAAAAAAAAAAACAAAAACAATTCGTGTGCCCGTTTGGGGGGACAGAACAGCGACAAGCGGATCGGTGGAGAATTCGTGAAAGATCCACGGAAGAGGCTGTCGCGAAGCTGTCGGTCTTTATCGAGGCTACGTCACGTGAACAACAACGCGACTCGACTCGATTAATTATCGACGATCGTGGTGAAACGAGCTTCGACTTCCAAAGGAAAAGGCTGTCGAGGAGGAGGAGAGAGAGAGAGAGAGAAAGAGAGAGAGAAAGGGGGAAACGAAGAAGAAGGATCGTAACGACCTAGCGATATCGCACGATCAAAGGCAACCGTACCGAGGGAAAGGTACCTGTCGCGACGCGAGAGTGCACGTAAACATCTCATCGAAAAGCCCGGTCCCCCGTATCCTGGATCGACTCCTCGTCCTCGTTCGAAAGCCGAGACGATCTCTCTCGCTGCGAGGCGATCCTTCGCGCCTCCTCTGTCTCACGATATCCGAGAACGTTCGAACGCGAGGTCAAGAGAGAGAAACTCGCGAGAAACTCCGATGCACGTCACTTTTCCAATTTTCCAAAGTTTCCAAACGATTCTTCGTTCTTCACGAAACCTGAAGTGTTTTCTTCTCTTTTTTTTTTTTTTTTTTTTATTCTTTGAACGAGTGTTTGAGAAGTGTTTGACGAAGTGGAGAACCGTGAGATTCAAGGTATATATATATATATATATATATATATATTTACATATATATTTATATTCCGATCAACGAGTGGCTCTTCTGATAATCTGAGGTGTGTGCGGACCGAAATTAAGCATCGAAGAAGTGAAGTGTGATCGACGAACGGGGGATGATCGTATGCAATCGTAACCGATAGTCCGCAGTCGGTAGTATGTGACGAGTGTTTTTCTGAACCGAATCCTATCCTTGGAATAACTTGGCCGGATATATCCAGAGAGGCGTCGAGTGGCTCTGATCTCAGTTTCGACTTGAAATCGTCGGGAGTGGCTGGAAGAAGAAGGAGAAGACGAGCGCAGGTGACCCACGGGGAATGGTGATGCGGTAGTCGAAGGATTCCTCGTGAGGAAAGACATGAGGGCGGCCGCCGCCTACGTCCTGTTCCTTGCCCACCTCATACAGGTAACATGCACACGCTTTATCTGCCCTATTCGCGGGACAACCGACTCTCTTCCGTATTCCACTCATGCGGACGTGTACCCTGTCAGGCGAACGTTTAATAAAGCTGACGGAAACCCGCCTTGTCCCTCTCGTAAACATTCTCCCTCGCCTCAAACTTCTGCCCGAGAAATCTCGAGAATTTTTTGCCATACTCCTTGAAGAACGTAAATTCCGTCTGGTGAGAATTTTAATACGGACAAATTCGTCTGTTCTTACAGAGAAGGACTATTCTTCTTGTAACGCTATTAATCTGATTGGAAGATGATTCAGATAGATGAGTCAAGTGTCTAGTATATAGAAAAATTGCAGATAAACGTATATGCCCGAGAAATCTCGAGAATTTTTCGTCATACTCCTTGAAGAACGTAAATTCCGTCTGGTGAGAATTTTAATACGGACAAATTCGTCTGTTCTTACAGAGGAGGACTATTCTTCTTCTCGTAACGCTATTAATCTGATTGGAAGATGATTCAGATAGATGAGTCAAGTGTCTAGTATATAAAAAAATTGCAGACAAACGTATATGCCCGAGAAATCTCGAGAATTTTTCGTCATACTCCTTGAAGAACATAAATTCCGTCTGGTTAGAATTTTAATACGGACAAATTCGTCTGTTCTTACAGAGAAGGACTATTCTTCTTCTCGTAACGCTATTAATCTGATTGGAAGATGATTCAGATAAATGAGTCAAGTGTCTAGTATATAGAAAAATTGCAGATAAACGTATATGCCCGAGAAATCTCGAGAATTTTTCGCCATACTCCTTGAAGAACGTAAATTCCGTCTGGTGAGAATTTTAATACGGACAAATTCGTCTGTTCTTACAGAGGAGGACTATTCTTCTTCTCGTAACTCTATTAATCTGATTGGAAGATGATTCAGATAGGTGATTCGTCAAGTGTCTAGTATATAGAAAAATTGCAGACAAACGTCTATGGTTGTACGAATCTATCATTTATAGCGTTGTCTAAAAAATAAAAACACGGCAGACAGGTGTTTGTGAATTGTTAAACGAAAGAGTTATTTACGTAGAACCTGTAGCTATTTAGAACACATAGAGAGAAAGAGAGAGAGAGAGAGAGAGAGCCTGTATGTGTGTGTGTGTGTTTAAAGTTATTATTAAATCGAAGGAAGAATACACCGTACGTGCGTTCGACAAAATGTACACTTATATACTCGAGACGATGTGCGATGCAATCTCACCGTCAAATTGCTCCGCATTTGGAAAAAAAAAGGAAACGGGAAAAAAGGTCGAACTGGATAGCCGATGATCAAGCCGCGAGAGACGGAGCAATTACTCGCCGATGCCGAGCGATAAGGTCGCGAGGCTAGATAATCCGTAATTACCGACAACCAGCTCTGAATCGTGCTTATTCTCCGTGCATCGGTGCCAGATAGAACAACAACAACGAAGAGAAAAAAACGTGATTGAAAAGGAGGGAAGAGACGAGGAGAGAAAATAAGAAGAAAACGAACGTTTACATATTAATTACATGCATCAGGGCGAACGGAGCGCAAACTGTCGCAAAGTGGAACGATTAGATAAGTAGCGACCGGCTCTGCGATGAATCATTGGGACGAGGTTTATTAACTTATCTTAGACGCTAATTCGATGAACGCGTAAAGACAGTCGCTCGACTGGACGTATCGCATGTACATACGTACATACGTAACTCTATTCGTCGTTTCTTCGCTCCTTTCCCATCCGTATCTCTTCTTTCTGACATCTTTACGTTTCCTTTTATTGGTCTCAGTCTCTCCGACGTTGCCTCGTATTTTCTTTTTCCTGAATCCCAGCGATCTTCATTCCCCATCGTTGGAAGAAATTTGTGTGAATTTGATAACACGCGGATCAGTTAATTTTCTTCAATTTAAGCTTCACAATTGTCTATGAATGCACCTTGTTCTTGCGACGTCTACAAGTCCTTTTGAGATCGCACAGCTACCAAACTATCCGCCTCTTCTTTCCTTCAGGAGAATTTACACAAAAGCTCCGAAAACTTGAACATCCACCAAAAATCATTGAGAGCTCCTGAAAATTTTTCCACCACTCCGAATTTTCCTCCTCCGGACTGAAAATCCTTGAGAAACGTAGAAACTCGAGGAAACGTAGAAGCAAATCGTAACTATTTCCCAGTCAGTCGGCCATTCTCGAACACTGTACCTCTGTTTCTTGCCTCGGTCTCTCTCTCTCTCTCTCTCTCTCTCTCTCTCGCTGGTTTCTTCTCGGTCGTGCGTCGTTGTTGCACGAGGACGAGTGGACGACACACGCCGCATCCTTCTGCTTGTTCTCATCAAGCGGATACGCAGTTACGGTGTAACCGCGGCCTTTTTATCCGCCGATGTTGCCCCGTCACCCACACTTATCATCCGGCTTTGCCTCGGTGTATCTTTGTCCCCTCTTTCGCTCGACGCGTCGGCATTATTGCACACGTCGGCCCCGTGTGTGTCGCGCTATTGTCCGCGCCGCGATGCCCCGTCGAAAAATGTATAACACGTTGCATCAGTGTAATGGGACGGTCTTATTTGTATCATCCTGCGAGGTTATTACACGCTCTCGTGCACGCGTTGTGTGTGTTCAGGAAGTGTGCCGAGGGCGCGCGGAACCCACCCCTCCCCCTCCATTACCACGGCCGAGGGGATGATGATGATCTCGTTCGTGAGTCCCCGATTGATTATTCGAATTATTGACGGTAGAATTTTTTATTGAATTTACTAGGGCCTCGAATTGTACTTCAAGCAAGCTAACAGAAATCTAAGTAAATCAATTAAATTGTTAAGTATTAATATTTAGTATTAATATGAATATTATTAGATAAAACACTCAATGATACTATAAGTTAAGCATTACTTACATATTGATATTTATTAATATTTTATTAATATTATATTTATTAATATTATTAATATTTATTAATATTTTAATATTATGTTTATTAATATTATTAAAATACTTTAATACTTGATAATTCGTTAATTTTTAATACTTGACACTTAGGATGCTTAGCAATCTAAATAAACTATTAATTAAAGTATTAAGTATCAATAAATTGAATTAATTGTATTAATTAACTTTAATTAACTACTTAAATTAAATTGAAATAAATTAAAGTATTTAACCCTCTAATTAACAGTTTAATTAATAGTTTACTTAGATTTTCGAAGTGTGAAGAATATTTTCACACGAACTTTTATTAAATTATGAACAACCATTTCAATACACTCTTCATTATATTTCTTTATCAATTGGATTGTTAGGTTACTTAAATTTTCCATGTAGGAAGAATATTTTTATATTAACTTTCCTTAAATTATGAACAACTATTTCAATAGACTCTTTGTTATGCGCAGTTTATTTATCCTGCGTAAAAATGATCGAACTTGAAGCTACATCTATTCCCCTGGATATAACTTTCCCAAGCTGCGAAATTGCGCTCCGCTTCTAATCGAAATCCGACTAGTAGAGGTTGCTGATTGAGGTCCGTATTAACTATTGTTCAAGACAAACATCATTGATCGATTATTACCCACGATCTCACGAAACGTATTACGCCATTACATTCTAGAGCTTCTCACGAACTAGATATATATATATGTATAAAGTAACGTATCCATTACTATTCACGTCACAAGATCCAAGAGACTCCATCTGTACCCAGCCCAGACTCCATAAACAGCGAGTTAAAAGAGAATCCATAAATTCTTATGAATTCCCTTAAGAAAGTTGACGTGTACCCGAGATGCATCCCAACGTATAAAATTCTTTATACGCGATCCATTACGAAGCTTCTTGAGCTATAAATTATTTCAACGGGCATTCCAACGAAAAGAGATGAGGAAGAAGAAAAGAAAAAAATAAAATCACTCGTCTGAGGAGCAACAAGATCCTGGCAGGGCATTTTTGCGAGTAATATCTCTCTCGTTGGCGAGAGAGAATCGCGGCAGGAGCTGCCGAAGAAGATCGCGAGAGGCGCAATCTCCTTGACGGGGCTAAACACACAGCCTCCGCGACGGAGACGTTGTTGGAGCAACCCCGATCTCGAGAGTAATTGGAGCTCAGAAGCGAAAAGTCAGGGGCACAATGGCCACGAGTTGCGAAAGGGGGAGGATCCATTTCTGCCAAATGACTTTCGAAGAAGAAGGTACGCGGCGGGCCCGGGCCCAGTTCCCTCGATGATTTCGACCTAGCGCAATTAAGCGCCGTTGCTGCTCTCTTTCAATTACCGTCCGAGCTGGAATTACCGTTATAACGCGGCTGCCGTCTGAAAAAAATCTCGCCGAAAAGTATTCCGAGAAACCGATACCTCGGCCCCCTCTATGAAAAACGCTCTCCCTGTCACTTTTCGACCGCCGTTTCTAACGTTTAATATCACGTTTGCGTTCCTTGATGGAACGAAACTAAAAATTGCAAACATACACACACACACATATATACAATTTAGTGTATCGCTGTACGTGATTATTATCTTTTTTATAAAATAAAGATTAGGATCACGTGTGTAATTATTCGCCAATTGTGCTCGTTGATTGAAACGGAAATCTGTTGGTGTTTCGTTCGGGGTGTATGGAGGCAATTTCAGAGATGGATCTCCCTCTGTGCTTTGTGAATTGAAACTGTGAAACTTCAAAGTTCAAGTTGTTTGTTGATGACGATTTTGATCAAACAATTCACGCACGAAGATTTCTATCAATCGACGAGATACAAATCGATCAGAAAGTAGAAGTTTCGTGTTTTGAAACGAGACCAAATGGATCTTTTTTTATAAAGATCAAATCCGTAATTCAAATTACGGGCAATTTTTCACTGCCGTTTCATAAATGACGTCGTAGAAACAAAAAAAAAAAAACTCGTGACGACGAGCGTATTTTTAAAAACGAGTTCAACAGCGTCGATCACAATTGAGGAAAGAAGAAAATAAAATGGCGGAAATATATATTCTCAGTTGTTAACCACTTGCGCT